CGTGCTTTTTAGATCACCGCCACTGCTGCTCTTTGCACCCAGTATCATCTACAGCACTTCAAACGACGCTACTGACTATCCCCTCACAGAACAGACTGTGGCCTCAGCATGAAGCCTTCACTTGGGCGGTAATGCATCGGAAAAAGTTAGGCTAGGCATTTTGTCACATGCAGTTTGCCACTCCACACGAATATTCAAGTAACACGGTCAACAGTCAGAAATATATTTTCAGTTATGTGTGTTGCTCTCTTTATCACTTCGGTGCACGGTCTCCGAATTGGCTTTTACAGCACCACTCGCTAACCTGCCACTTCTAGCGACTGTCGCAATGTATGGAACTAGCTTTTTGGCTCTTGCTACGTGGAATTAACTTTTGCCTCTTAATACCTGATGTTTCGTAAATAGCGTAAACTCTTACTGCAACTTAAAGCTTACGTTTGTAGCAACGCTAACAAATCAAGATGGAATGAAAGGCTTTTTTGGGAATTTGCAGCAGCTTATGCTCTGGATTATTGCGCTTACGATGAGCAGTGGTAAGCTGTTTTTTTGCATTCTTTTTGGAGAGTAACTTCATTTGGATTATTGCAGGCATTTACGCTGCGCGGCATCGACCCCGCGGAATTGGACTTGTCAAATTACCGTTTGGCGTTTCGGACCATCGCTCGGGACCTGCATTCCCGAATCTGTACATTGCTGGCAACAAGCTTTATCATAAGGTTTCTTTCGGAGACTTCCTCCTCTAACTCACACACCTCGTTCTAACGTTTTCCAATGCCCCTTCCCTCACATTTTGTACATACGTAAACTAGGTTAACCGATGCACCAAGCTTGCCGATGCGATCATAAAGCAATCATGTCACTAACTGTGTAAACGATTGTTGCTTTACATTTAACTAGTGCGGTCACTACCGCACTTTACCGTAAATCTTGCATGAAGGAAAATAATTTCGGTGACCGGATGTGTAGTGAAAATGGCTTACTTCCGCCTACACAAGTGGAGACCAGCCAGTGAATTACGGCCGATTTAAGTGTCCATTTGGAAATGATGCTAAAAGTTGGGAGATAGCAAAAAGAAGGCAAATTTAAACACGAAAATATTACGATTTAAAAGAATATGATGCCACAAACTTAGTTTCCTTGTTTTTTCCTGCTGGAAGTGCAGAAATGAAAACAATGGTCGGGAAACGGATTGAAAAAATTTTTTCCAAAAAATGACCGAAACGTCTGCAAACCGCAAGCGAGTTCAAAATTTTTGGCAACAAATGCTTGTTAGCAAAACTGTGCAAAAACGCATGTTTACAACTAGTTCTCTTGTAAGTGCTGCTATTTTTCATTCTCCCGACTTAGATTTTAGCACAAAAACTGTGAAATTACCAAAAGTGGAAATAAGACTAGGCATTCTGTTAATTTTCAGACGCAGTCGGTTCCTGATGTATCTCTTCCGGGACAGGATAAGCATTTTAGTGGCAGTGCCCAGTTTAACCCATTCACACAAATCATCGGTTTTGCGCATAACAATGACATTGGCGATTCCTGGGGAACT